CCAAACCTTTTTTTTTTTTAAAAAAAAAACTTCTTGATTTTTTATTTTCATTCAGAGGGCTTGACCTTGGACCGATAGAGAAGCTTCTTCTTTTTAGAGGTTTGATTGTCGAATGTGAGCACAACTTTGCCAGCTTCACCAGTCTTGAAGCTGCAGTTTATAACTTGTTCATCGGCCGGGTAAATTTTCCTAGCCTTTTGTACAATCAAAGTGTATCCACCCTCGGCACTCGGTAGAAATTCAGCTCCATACGAAACTTCCCACCCCACAACTCTAACCTCCCAAACCAATGTACCAGCCTGCAACAAAAATCCGGATTCTCAACTTACGAAAAGACCCCCAGTTAAGATAATTTTACAAATACGCTGAAAAACAGGTACAATTTGTAAAACAGAAGCAGATATCAAGGAGCTATTTTGAAATTTTTATAATATTCCACACCCACAACTAGCTTTTGATCATAACTACTAATTCATTTAATCAATCCATTGGAAAATATTAAGAGAAAAAACATTAATAATTTATCAAGCCAAGCTCTCACCTCATTAACCGGGAATTCAATGGTGTGTTTGCAAGTTGGCTTAATTATTTCCTCAATGGAAAGGTCAGCAGTGGTGAATTCTTGATCTTCATGTTTGCTAAGGCCACCATATTGAACTGGTAATTGCTCGGGTGCTATGTATCTTGGAGACACAACACAAACATAATTTACTCCCAAATTACAGAATCATTAAAGAGCAAAAACGAATTCAAAAGATATAAGGATTGAAATAAATATTACTGACTTGAAGAGCGTCTCGAGAGTCTTTGTAGAGCCTGCAAACACAAACTTGCTCTTGGTTCTTTGAGTTAAGAATGGGCTGATCATTCTATTGTAAGCCAAATACCACCATGGAACATTGACAAACACCTTCACAAAAAGCAAACTTATCGATCGACACCAAACTAAATTAACATTATTTGAAAAAAAAGAAGCGAATGATCCGAACTCCGGACCCAATAGAATCCTTGTTAACCGAGAGAATTATAGCAGTTTCGTGTCTAAAAATGCGGCCTTTAATGTTTCGGATAAACCTTTGAAGCTTCAACATTTGTTAAAAATAAACCAAATAAAGAAAATTCCAATTGCCACCACCTCCAAATAGCCCCCCACAAAATTACAGCAATCTTAAAACAAGCAGAGATAAGATTTTATCTTTGAACCTAAATAGATGAAAACACATATGACAAATACTATAATAACAATCAAGAATGATTTTTATTTTTGGTTTTGGGGTACCTGTTTGGCAACAAATTCAGGATAATTATCCTGAAGCATCTGAAGAGCCTGGTCAGTAGCCTGGCGAAGCTCCTTCTTGAAGAGCCCGGGTGAGTTTTTCAGATCGATTATCTGAACGATAGTGCAAATCCCATCCGGGCCGAAATCGAGTTTTCTAATGTTCTTCTCCAAGAACTGAATATACCATTTCAAGAACTTGGCCCTCTTCTCAGCATCAGCAAAGGTGCTATCATACAATTCCTTGTTCTGAAACTCACCAAGAGAGTTGTAACAAACAGGGTGCCCTTCTTTATCAACACCATGCATATACACAACCTTTTCGAGACCCTCGACCATATTTTCCTCATCATCGAGAAGCTTTTCGATTTCGAACTCCTTCCGCCACGCCACCACGCTTTTGAGCATGGCGAAAGCTTCCTTC